ATATATATATATATATATATATATATATATATATACAGTGGAATATTCTCAGCCATAAAAAGGAATGAAATAGTGCCATTTGCAGGGATGTGGACAGACCTAGAGACTGTCATAACAGAGTGAAGTAAGTCAGAAAGAGAAAAACAAATATCGTATAATATCACTTATATGTGGAATCTAGAAAAATGGTACAGATGAACTTATTTGCAAAGGAGAAACAGAGACACATGTAGAGAACAAACTTATGGATACCAAGAGGGGAAGGGGGGTGTGGGATGAACTGGGAGATTGGGCTTGACATATATACACTACTATGTATAAAACAGATAACTAATGAGAACCTGCTGTACAGCACAGGGATCTCTACTCAGTGCCCTGTGGTGACCTAAATGGGTAGGAAATCTAAAAAAGTATGGATATATGTATACATATAGCCGATTCACTTTGCTGTACAGCAGAAACTAACACAACATTGTAAAGCAACTATACTCCAATAAAAAAAAATAATAAATGTAAAACAAAACAAAATAAAAAACAAAAAAATAAAATACAAAATAAAAGCACGTGTCTAGCAATTGGCTGGACAGCTCTGCCCACGCACACTGTCAACCCCCCTCATCACTGGTCTCAGCTCTACCAATGATACAGTTGAAAGCACACAGAAAAGTATATATAAAAGTAGAGAGTAATATGCAGAAATTATGCCATGGTTAAAACTACACACAAATTATAGTTATAGGAAAATTAATTAGAAGATAATACAGAAAAATGAAAACTGATTTGCTGGTGATAGCAGAATCATAATTAATCTTTTTTCTTTTAACTGTAACGATTTTACAAATGTATGAAAAAGAAATTTTAAAAAAGCATTTTATAAGAAACATGCTATTTAAAAACAAATTCCGTACTGGTAACGACGGGTACACAACTAGAGTGTGAGCTTAAAGACCTGGATTCTGTTTCCTGCTCTGCCCTCAAGTACTATGTCCCTTTGCAGGAAATCACTCAAACTTCTTTAAGAGCTTCAAGATAGTCAAAACCTGAAGGCTACGCTATGATCTCAGAACCCTGGCAATCCTAAAACAGCTATGATACAATGATTTATCCAATATTAGAAAACTTCTTGTTGGCAACGGACTTTCTGATGACTTCCAAATGGCGTTAAGGATAAAGAAGAGAAAAAAAACAAAGTTCTTACCCTCATGAATAAACAAAAAAACAGTTCCGCAGTAATATTCATTAAGGAGGAAAGTCACGCCAGGTGAGGGCAGAGAGCGTTCCCTTACAACACTGGGTGTGCTGTTCTGGACGCCTGTGTAATGAAGTGAGCCCGCAGCCGAGCTCTGGGTGGAATAAGGAGGAGGCCCTAATGACAGCTGGGAACAAGTGCCTCAAGCAGAAGGAATCACAAGCACAGAGGCCCTGAAGCAGGAGAAACATGCTAAAAATTAGCAAGGAAGCCAACAGGCTGGAGCCAAGAGAACTTTCAGGAAGAACAATGGTAGATGACCTCAGAATGGGGGCTGCCGCAGGTCAGGCAGGGCCCGGTGGGGCACCGTGAGTCACTGCGCTGGGAAACCTCTGGAGGATTCTGATGAACAAGGGATTAACGTTACTTGCGCTACATTCTAAAGGGATCAGTCTGGCTGCTGAGTGAAAAACAGACTTTAGGTGTGGGGAGAGAATAAAATCAGGAGTGCAGGCAAAACACCGTGATGGCTTGTACTAGGAGGAGAGAAGCAGTTACACAGGGAATCTTTGGGATTCTAGATGTATTTTTTAAAATAAAGGCAACAGGATTAGCTGATGGATTCAGTGTAGGTTATAAAAGAAAGTCAATGACAAATCCATAGTTTTGAGCTTGGGAAAGTGGGTAAATGGAGGTTAAATCTTGAGACCTAGAAACTCCTATCAAGGTATCAAATTCAGCTATTCAGGAATAGCATATAGTGTAAGTAATACTTATGCTAAAAGTGGAAGTGAGGAAGCAAAAGTAGAATGGTTGCTTTTTCTACTCACCATTTGCAGACTGTATCATGTTTCCAGATTTTTGGACTTCATCAAATTTTGTAAAAATTACATTCAACCTGTATGAAAAAATATATATATATTATACAAACTATTAACCATATTACAATTACATTAACATATTTACAATCATAGTATACACTGAAGGTGAGTCTCACTCATTGATAACAGACCCATCTAACAACAACAGTAGCTATGCTAACAGCATTATCAATAGCCAAAAATGAGTGAGCACCTGCTTATTACAAGCCAAGCACCGACCTAAGCTCTACCTGAAAAATCTCCTTTGATTCTTGTAACAGCTGTATAAGGGGTTATCAGTATCCCCATATTACAGACGAGGAAATCAAAACCCCCTTACTTAAGGTAACACACTTGGTCAGGGTGGAGATGCCAGCCCTGAGAGTAAGAACCCAGAGCCCAGGCTCTCAGACATTATACTAAACTGACTGACGTCTCTACACAAAATGTATGCATCATGAAAAGTCTTTATTTCTCCTATTTCTGTCTAAGCACAGACTGCTGATTACTCAGGACAAAGATTTTCAAAATGCATTGATATTACAGTACAAAGGCTTTTCTGTGGCTTTTGCTTATTTTAAAAATGCTGTAAATAATTTCTCTAGAAGCAAATGTTGTGACTGGATAATCTTCAGCTTCAAAATCTGCCATGACAGGTATTTTCTATTAGTGGATCATTTTCACCATGACATTTTAAAAGAAGCAAAACTCCTTAACCACCAAATATTCCATCCTAGTGTCACCAAAAACGAGAGGAAAATTGGGGGTGGGGGTGGGGTTTACCTTGTAGGAAAAGTCAAGAAAAAAGAGGCTTTCCGAGCGAAACACAGATATATTGGAATAAGCCTAAAGGTTGAGATTCCAAAGTCACGCAATTTTGCATTGAAACCTACACCACCCATTTCCAGGACTAGAATAGAAACGTTAGCACTTTCCTACAAACCAGCCTGTCATACAAGCTCTAATCATTTCAAACATGTTTGATTTCCTTTCCAACCAGGATGGAAGCCCCTTGGGTATAGGAATGGGACCTATATTATCTTTGGTATTCTGTGTACACCACACATAACATCATGCAGGAGGGTGACATCACCGAATGAGAAGGCTGGTACCTGGACCCGTCCCCGCGCGCAAGGTGGAAAACCAGGTAATTCACACACTCCGGTCTCAGCTCATGCACTCTCGTTCATTGGCTGAGCCAGCACTGAGCTAGCTAGATGCTGAGTGTGGGAAGGTCCCACCCTCTAGAGCTCCTACTTACCTCTACTTCATTCTATTCTACTTAGACTGTGACATTCTAGGAAACAAGGGAGCCAAAAATACTCATAAGCAAACAGAGGTAAGTGAAGGGGATGAATCAGCCTGATAACACGGCCCCTCCCGCTTCCCATCCCATGGCAGATATTGATCTTTTCAACCCATCTTTCCATCTAAGTCCAGATGTAGCCTCAGAACCCTTCCCAAAACTGCTCCAGGCAGCTACGACCAATGAATCAAAGTCGGCGCTGAGTTAAAATTCTATTTGTCATCCCAGGACCAGATGAGTAAAACTATTGCTCACTTGCAACTCCCGTAGTTACTAAAAATCTGGAAAGATGCCTTAGAATCAAGTTCTTATGATGTTTCCATCACCTGCCCTTTGATAAGTAACAAAGATCCCCACTGGCTTAACAAGCCCATAAATAACACCCCTACACAGGTTGCCGGGGCCTGCCCTGACCAAGTTACCACTTTATTGCATCACAGCCACACCCTCTGACGTAAGCATGCCTGCAAGGCTGCACATGGGGGACAAAGGGCACCTCCAGCTGGCTGTCCCTGAAATCACTGGGAGGGGCGAGTATTTCCTCCGTTCCTGGGAGAGCATTCACCATTATCGATGGCAACTGTGGAAGCACCTGTAGATTCTCTGTAGCTCGCAGGTAGGGTCTCCTCACAGCGGCCACGGGACCCACAACCAGTAGGCCCAAACAACTAGGTATGGGAAGGCTAAGATGATTACCGTTGTTGGCACCTGCACCATAATTCAGAATTACTTCAGGCAGGCGTGCTTTCCCGCTGCTTTCCAGCTCCTGCCTCAATAGCTGCCTAGACAATGGCTCCTGTCCAGATGACCACCCCCGGATCACAGGAGCCTGGCTTTATGACAGTCCAAGAGCAACAAAACCTCCCCTGGGAATGCCTTCTGTCTCCTAGTCCTGAGCACAGCAATACAAAATGCCTCTCCCAGGACCTACCAACTTGCACAAGTCTGAAAGGGTGAGTTTTACAGGTTCAAAGATGTTGAATACATAACTAATGATTACCCTCTGGAGCCACCAATTTTTTTGCACTTTCTAAATTTTAAATCTTTGGATCTCAAATATAAAATAAATTTCTTCACTAGTTTCACAAATAACCCAATACCATTTTCCTCTGACTTTTCTGAATTTAAATTTTATTTTCAACTCTTCAATGCAACTGGTGTTTATTTTACTGTAAGATTTAGATCTAATTATGCCTTTCTAGAATATTTTATAAGTTTAAAATAATCTCCTAAGAGCAAATACTAGTAATATGGTAAACAAGCTCCAGTTCTACACTCAGAGTTTATAATTGGCTTTTCAGTCCACTACTCTTAAATATGAGCAGGTACCAAGGATTATAAACTATATGAGCAAAGCTTGTAATATGAAAAAGAGAGACCAAAAGGAACACACACATACCCCCAAATCCCAATTTAGAGAAAAGACTACGAACAGTTTGTTTGGTTGTTTTCTTTTTTTGCGGTACGCGGGCCTCTCACTGTTGTGGCCTCTCCCGTTGCGGAGCACAGGCTCTGGACGCGCAGGCTCAGCGGCCATGTCTCACGGACCTAGCCGCTCCACGGCATGTGGGATCTTCCCGGACCCAGGCACGAACCCGTGTCCCCTGCATCAGCAGGCAGACTCTCAACCACTGCACCACCAGGGAAGCTCCGAACAGTTTTTAATATATTATTTATATTTCCAAAGAGATGAGAAAATATTTTAATTATAAAAGCACACAGGGCTGCCCTGATGGCACAGTGGTTGAGAGTCTGCCTGCCAGTGCGGGGGACACGGGTTCGAGCCCTGGTTTGGGAGGATACCACATGCTGCAGAGCGGCTGGGACCGTGAGCCACAACTGCTGAGCCTGCGCATCTGGAGCCTGTGCTCCGCAACAAGAGAGGCAGCAATAGTGAGAGGCCCGCACACCACAATGAAGAGCGGCCCCCGCTTGCCCCAGCTGGAGAAGGCCCTCACACAGAAATGAAGACCCAACACAGCAATCAATCAATCAATCAATCAATCAATAAAATAAATAAATTTTTTTTAAAAAAAGAATGCAACACAATTCTTTAAAAAAAGCACACAGGGAGGAGCCCTTCAAAATGGCACCATAAGGACCTCTGAAAATTTGCTCCTCCAAAGAAGCAAAGAAAACATCAGCAAAATCAAGTTTTCCAAAACTGGAAATTAAACAAAGGCTTGCAACAATCCGAGCATTCTTCAAGCAAAAAGGCTGAATCTTGGTAAGAACAGTAAGTTTTCCATTGCTTTGCAAGTGCCCTATTTCCATCTCAACTCAGGCTGAAAACCAACAGCCTCACAACCACTAGAAAAAGTTGAACAAGTCTGGAGTCCCTAAGGATCCCCATTCCCAGAGAACTGTCATTATCTGACCTGCCTGGCATATCCCTGAACCCCCATTCACAGGGCTTGTCTTTATCACACCTCACTCAGAGCATGCTCAGTGTGAGACCCTTTTCCCTGGGGCCACAATCAAAAAGAATCCACAATGACTATTTAACACGGCAATAACCGCTGGGGCAAAGAAACTGACCAAAACACTTATAAGGAGAAACTGGAGGATGAGATGTTCTCAGGAAACTTTGAAAAGCTCTGACACATTCCTGGGAATCTAGAAGATCCACATATATGGACAAGGCTGTGTGCATGCCTGAGAATGACCCAAGGCACTAACGTCTCACCTCTGGCTGACCGTGAGATTCTGCACAAGCAGGCAGTAAAGAGATATAAAGGCAGGAACGTATAAACTGCCTGCCAGAATACTGAAAGCACGTCCCAATATACAGAGTCTTCAGGAAAGGCACTGAAGGAAACCCCTGTCCAATCATCAGCTGAACGCTAACCTAACCAAGGACAGATGACTATAGTAACCACACACAACCAAAAAATACAGACTTTACAGCATTAGCTCAGATAAGTCACTAAACAAGCAATGAGCAACGAAAACAATAAACACCACCAACAGCAAGCCTGGGGAAAATATAAAATTCACCAAATAGAGAATATCAATGAAGAGATAGAAAATGTAAGAATCATACAGAAATTCTCGAAATGAAATTAAACATTTATAAACAGCTAAAATTAAAAATTCAGGGCTTCCCTGGTGGCGCAGTGGTTAAGAATCCGCCTGCCAATGCAGGGGACACAGGTTCGAGCCCTGGTCCGGGAAGATCCCACGTGCTACGGAGCAACTAAGCCCGTGCACCACAACTACTGAGGCTGTGCTCTACAGCCCACAGGCCACAGCTACTGAAGCCCATGTGCCACAACTACTGAAGCCTGGGCACCTAGAGCCCGTGCTCTGCAATAAGAGAAGCCACCGCAAGAGAAGCCCGCGCACCACAACAAAGAGTATCCCCTGCTCGTTGCAACTAGAGAAAGCCCGCACACAGCAACGAAGATCCAACACAGCCAAAAAATACATAAATAAATAAATAAATAATTTTTTAAAAAAAAATAAAAATTCACTAGAGAGGCTCAACAGTGATTTGGGATAAAAAGCAGCAGCAAACTTGCAGATGAGTCAATTGACACTATCATGTCTGAGAAACAGAAGAAAAATGAACATGAAACATAAATAAATAAATAGAGCCTCAGAGATTATCTTCTTACTATACCAACATACACTTAATTGGAATCCCAGGAGGAAAGGGGAAAGGAAAAAGGACAGAAAGAATATGTGAAGAAATAATGACCGAAAACGTTCTAAATTTATGAAGCTCAACAA